TGATTAATTTCACATGGAATATTCAGTTCAGTACTTGAGTATTAATATTAAAATACTGGCCAGTGATTTATTACACATGGAATCCTTGGTTCAGTACTTCAGTACTAACATTGAAATACTCATCAGTAATTTAACACAAGTATTTATTACACAAGTATTTTTCACCTAGTATTAAATGCTTTCTCATCAGAAATGTTAATTTTGCGCCCTAAAATTACGTTTTCGAGTTTTGGTCTCGCGTCCGCCTTGCACGCGGTGCTCGCGACGAAGTACTTTTTGTATTCAGGATCAGGCGCGTAATCGGAAAGGACTCCTAACAATGGATTCGGAGAGGTCCCGAACAAAAGGCGGTTGAGCCTGCGGGTGCGTACCTTGAGTCCGCTTCGTCGCGTCTTGGGCATTTGTTAACTACTGATTGAGGTTAAAAGACAAATACGCTTCGGTTGACTCTTCTTGCTTGTGGCGAGAAAGCGTGCTGCTCGTACAGCACTGCCCCTCTCCAGATACCCACGGACGGTAGCGTGCCGCTCGTACGGCACTGCCTCGTACGCAGATGTGGCACAAGGGGAGGACCGGTGATTTGGATGCCTTATTGCAATTACTAGAATACCCACAGGCGGAGACGTGCCGCTCGTACGGCACTAGGCTCGTGTGTGGATGTAGTGTAAGTGGGATCAGTGGAGGATGTGCGAAGAGGTGTAAGAATTTGTAGAGTAAGATATTGTATAAAAATGTTTGTATATTATAATAATTCTACATAGGACATATGATTACAAAAGTAACAAGATTACAATCAGAATGTATATATATTTATATAATTGTCGAGTGGGACAAACGTATGGCGTATTTCTATATGACGCGTAATTCTATATGTAGTGAGAGAGCTGAAGGCTCTGGGTTCGGTAACGCACGTGGAGATAGGAAGATTCTCGATGTTGAAATAGGAAGGTTCTGGATTCAGAGAGACTCGAGAAGGATTCAGTGGTTACTTAACTGGAGAGTCCGTGATCGAGGTAAAACTCCGGGGAACTGAGAGCGTCCCTTGGGATGTTTGCCCTTATATTCCTGTTTTCCCGATGGCGGGGGTGGTCGAGTGGAAGGGTTGACTGAGTGGTCGAGTGGAAGGGTTGAGTTGCGTCATCAGCTCTGTCTTCGATTTCTTTTCTTATATGGTCATAGCCTGAGTTTTCTTCCTTTTGTTGCTTGAGTGGAAGAATTGAGTTGCGTCATTGGCTTCGCTTTCGATTTCTCTCCTTATATGGTCATGTCCTGAGTTTTCAGGAAGGGTCTAGTAGGGTTTAGGTTTGCGTTACCTGAAAGAAGTGTTGCGGGGAAATTCCTATGGCTAAACCCTAGTGGGCATTGCGACTTATTTATTGTGTATATACATTATTGGAATAGGCCAAGCTTATTGCGTATATCGTGACTTATCTTCTATAAATATATGCTAGTGGGTAGGTTAGGCTTATCGCGCAGGTCGTGACTTATCGCTAGTGTGGTAACTTATTCGGTGGTAATTCTACTGTCGGTAAGTCATGCTAGTGAGTGTGGTAACTTATTCGGTGATGACCTACTGTCGGTAAGTCATGCTAGTAAGTATGGTAACTTATTCGGTGGTGATCCTACTGTCGGTAAGTCATGCTAGTAAGTATGGTAACTTGTTCGGTGGTAATCCTACTGTCGGTAAGTCATGCTAGTAAGTATGGTAACTTGTATGGTGGTAATCCTACTGTCGGTAAGTCATGCTAGTAAGTATGGTAACTTATTCGGTGGTAATCCTACTATCGGTAAGTTATGCTAGTAAGTATGGTAACTTGTTCGGTGGTAATCCTTACTGTCGGTAAGTCATTGTTCTTATGAGTAAGGTCTGACCAAAGTCTTCCTACAATCTAAAAAAGGTTTCAAATTTTCCGGACGTACGAGAGGGTGGACGTAACAGTATCTTGTTGTAGTCCCGCTGTCGTCGTCAACGTACCCTCTCCTACGTCCCGTTGCAACGTCTCTTTCCTCTCCTGTTCTCATCGTTTCCTTAAGTTTACGTTGACGTACTTTCTTCCATCGTAGCGTGTGTTTTACAGTTGACTCACGTCGAGCTGTTCTGTTTTGCATGAGCCACTACAGGTAACGTTTGTCTCAAGTCTCCTGCAAAAAGACGTACTTTTGCTTTAAATGGTTTTGTCGTCCTCATCAACGTTCTTACGACGTTCGCGACTGCTGTTAGAGCTTGTTCTACAGTCCGGCTTATTTCCGCCCCGCGTCGTACGTTCGCAAAGCGTACGTCTCTTGCTTTCTGCGTGTTTCCTCTGATCGTTGCGTTCGTTGTTTCATCTCGTAGTCGTGTTAGTTTCAACAGACTACAATATGTTTTTCCTCCCTTTAAAAGTGTTGCTGCTTGGTCTGTTTTTTCACTTCCTGCAACGCCGTCTATAAAAAATAACCTTTTGACTTCCGTTTTATTTTCACGTACTTTCCGTACTAACGCGTACACGTGCTTTTGCTCTGCCGTTACGGTCAACACAAAATCTTCTCCTCTACTTCTTTCCTCATCTAACGCCGCGTCTCGTTTAGTACGTTTCACTGGCTTTGGTTTTGGCACGTTGAAGTTTACACAGCTAGTTTCCGTCGTTCCGCGATACACGTCTAAGCTATATTTTTTGACGTATCTCGCGTTCTGTGTACATAATCTTCACGCCGGGCGTCTTTATATTTCGTCCAAAGTGTTGGTACATCTGTAGGTGTTCCATATATGCAAATATAAGCAACGAGCTCTCTACGTTGTGCAGGCCGTTGACTCTCTTTTACTTCTAGCGTTTTGCCCCCGTGATCATCTGCGTCTCGCAACGTCCTTGTTTTTGTCGCCGCCTTGAACGTCTCCGAAAGAACTCCGTTGACAGTTCTCAACGTCTCGTAACATTTAGTTCCCTTAATATGTAGAAGAAGCACGCGTAGATAATATCTTTCCGTATCTTTTATGCTTACTGTATCGAATCTGGAACAGATCTTTTCTGTTCCTTTTTCCCGTTTGCTTCTTTCTTTTCATACACCATGTGTGACGCACGCTCTGCGTCGACAAACGGTCTCGTTCTTTCATCATCTTGCGTCACGTTAAACCATGCAGTAAGTGTAGTGTCCCTTTTCTGCGCACTTTGTGCTGCTTGCTCTTCCGTTCCCTCTTTAAAATATATCCGTTGACGCGTAGGCAACGGAACTGCCAGTCTTCGTACTGTCGGAGACTTCATAAACCGTTCATGTCCGTTCAGTCTCCACCGTGCTTCTGGTGTACCAACATCGCTTGCATCCATGACGGCGTTTACCTTATCTCGTTTACGTAGTCTCGTTCCGTCTTTTGTTTGCACCTTACGTGCAGCACACGCAAATCCTTTGTGAATGTACTTGTCGAAGTCGTCAACACTCTTTACTGCGGAACATATTTCCAACGTCCGGTGCCGCGCATCGTTCCGTAACAAATATAGCGACGAGGACACTACTCCGCGCGTCGTACGTTCTTTTCCTCTTACTCTGTATTTTTTCCCTCGCGTCTTTCTTTGATACCGAAGATCGCCCGTCTCCGTTGCTTCTGTTTCCTTTCTAACGTTTTTTGGATAGCCTTTTGTACACTTTCCATCTTTCCCTTGACAAGGATATCTTCTCGATCTGTCGCTACATGATCCGTGACACCGCGGCCTTAAAACCCGTGCCGTAAGCTCTGGCGACCTTTCTTCCGCAGGGATTTCAGTCCATACCATCTTATCTCGACGTTTTTCCGGCCTTGGCTTTTTTTCCGCACCTAACCGTGCAAGTAACGGCAACGGTGGTACGCCTCTTTTTTGGAACTCACGTACACCTACATAAGCTCGGTGTTTTCCGAAACGTTTCTTTTGCCGTAGATCTCTCCGCAGTTCTTTTACATCCAAGTTAAAGATTTTTGCTGCTAACGCTGGACGCGCGTCTACTTGACCGCCCACAAACGTTTCCTTACGTGACGGAGACTGTGGCGTGCCGGTCATTGTTAAAAAGCGGTCTGGTTTCTCAAACTTTCTTACCCGAGACCGTGCCGCTTGATATCTTTCTTGCATCGTTTTTGGACTTCCCCGAACGGATGATGGTACGCGTACTGGTATACCAGCTTTACGTCCTTCCGTTTGTTCTTGCGTATCTAAGTGATCCCGTACGCCTGACGATAATTCTGCTCTTATCTTCAGCTGCGTTACGTTACGATACGTAAGTCTGTTAGCCTCAGTTTTCATATAGGCCGCTACGCGGACGTAACACCTCACGTTGCCTGTCATTTTAACGTGACTAACGTCTTTTCTAGGTGCCAGCAAGTAAGCCGACGACGTCATCTGAAAACGTTTATATCCTTGATATAGAGGCGTCGTTGCGTTCATTTCAAACGGCCCGCCCGCGTTACCATATAGATATACGAAAGGATCATACCGTGGATCACACGTTTTCGTCAGACATGATCGTTGTTGAACATCCGTCGACGTTTTGTTATATATCCTACGGTCTCTCCCAACGAGAGGCTCACCATCAACTGTCGTAAAGACCACGGTTCGTTCACTTGCACATGGGGCCGTCGACCTTCTTTTATCCTGTTTCGGATTTTTTTTGAACGACAACGTCAACGTTGGTGCTTGAGTACCCTGAGGATTTAAATCTATTTTTCGCTGACGCCGCATCTCAAATGTTGTAGCTACGGACGTGTCCGGCTCCCGGAGACGTGTCACGTCTCTCTGAAAACTTGCCGCACAGTCTTTCGTTGCTTCCTTTTTTAATCTTTGACTTACAGCTTCTTCAGTATCTATAAACGAAAACTGTGCAAAACGTGGAGCTTCCCCTTCTCCTGGACGCCGTGACGTCAAGATCAACGGCGGCGCGTGCCCCGGACGTTTCAAACACGAAGGCGCACGCGTCACTACTTCTAGAGGCGTCCTCGTTCCTGGAGCACCCCGCAAAGCCCGTGCTACGGTACTCGTCGATGTACGACGCGTCTTTAAGAACGTCCTAGCGTGAGCATCTTTTCCCATGTATACGTTGCGTAAAACGTCCGGACATTTTCGTGGTTCCAACGTTCGTTTTCCTTTTTGACAACACAATGTAACGTGTCTTTTATTTTGTTTTTCACCGTCAAAGTTTACGGCGTTGCAAAACGTGCCGCGCACCGTCCGTGGATCTACGTTGTGAACTTTTATTTTACGTTCCTTCTCTTTTGCACGAAGCGCAACATGCGACGTCAAGTCTCTTTCTTGGCGTCGTCTCTCAGCATGCCTGTCGACACGTCTTTGTGAAACACGTTCCACTCGTTTTCTTCTTGCTTCCTCATTTTTGTCGGCTCTCCTTTAAGTATGTCTTTGGGCATCTCTTTCTAAACGTTGTGTCTTTGCCTCATCAGTTTCTAACACCCTTTGCTGTGCCGGTCTCTCTACGTCCGTTTCTACGCTCTCCCTTCTTTCTTCCGTACTCTCACTTTCTCGCTGTTGTTGTTTACACCGGCCCTCCGAACTCACTATAGACACGGTTTTTTTTTCTTTTCTTTCTTGACATTTTTTTCAAATCCACCAACGTACGCACGGTATCGTTTACGACGTAAGTTTCTCCGTCTTACGTACGTATATTTTGGTCTTCGAATACGTTTACGCGTCCTTTTTACATATGTTTTTTTTAACGGTACATCGCCGGATGTCTGTACATCTATCCGGATCACGTTTGTGCGTTCCGACAACTCGGTAAATGAAACACGATATATTTTACGCACTTGCCAACATCTATCTTTTTTAAAAATAATATTTCAAATATCGTTCGTTTATTACTTACGTTAAAATCCTATGTTTTTCGTTCGTAACGTAGTTTTTCAAAAAGATTCCCAACGTTTAAGAACGTCCAAAAATGAAAGCACGGTACTTGGTATGAACTTACGTTCTATATTATAGTATACGTACGAAAAAATAAACGTGTCTTCTTTCGTGACAAAACTCACCTTATGTTAGAAACTCACTTACCTTACTTGCCTTAATTCTACCCGTCGTCTGTAACGTACCATCTCAAATCAAGAAAACAGGAACAAATCTCGCGTGCATGATAAACGTTCGAAACGTTACACCGTGAAACGTTCGAAATAAGTTATCTAACGAAACTCTTTCTCTCTCTCTCTCTCTCTCTCTTTTTTATAAGACGGAACGAAATCTAAAAATATACTGTTAAAAAAAATCTGTAACCTCCTTTTTTGCAACACGGTTTCTACGTCTCGTCTCTTTCGTTCTTTCTTATAGTATGCAACGCGCCTTCTTTTTACGGAGAAACGGAAGTTACGAAAATATCATATACGGACGGATAGACAAACAGTCGGGTTTTATGTTTAGTATGATGTACGGAACGTAAAAGAAAATATTTACGATACCGACCTTTTTTCTTCAGAAGTTTCAAATTTTTTTTTAATGGTATGTTTTTATATTTCGTTCCGTCTTCGAAGAAAGAAAAAGAGAAAGAGAGAGTTTTTTTTTCGTTCATGATATCTTATACGGTACAACGCGCCTTCTTTTTAATAAAAAACGGAAGTCACGAAGATCGCATATACGGACAGACGGACGGACAGACAAATAGTCGGGTTTTATATTATAGTACGATATAATGTATGGAGCGAAAAAAAAAATATTTAAGATACCGACCTTTTTTCTTTGTCTCTTTCTTTCTCTTTCTCTCTCTCTTCCTTTTTTTCTCTCTTTTTCTCTCTTATAATGTGCGACGCGTCTTCTTTTTCTTAAAAAACGGAAAGACAGAAAGTCACGAAGATAAAAAAGAACTCTCTCTCTCTCTTTCTTGTTCTCTTTTTTTCCTTTTCTCTCTTTCCTTCTCTCTCGCTCTCTCTCTCTTATAATGTGCGACGATCCTTTTTTCTTAAAAAACGCAAAGACAGAAAATCATGAAACGCGCATCATCATAAAATAAAAAAGAAATAAAACAAAGAGATGGAGAGCGTGAAAGACGTACGTTTTTTAAAATATAACGTTTATATTTAAGATACCGACCTTTTTTCTTTGTATCTGTTTTTTTTTCTCTCTCTCTCTCTGTTTTTCTTCGAACGTGCGACGATCCTCTTACGCGCTTTCTCTCTTTCTTATAATGTGCAAATATTTTTTTACGTGCTTGCGACAGTTACGATGTGAACGGCTTGTGTTCGTAGTTTTGACAGATACGATATGAAAATAGCAACTTATCATATATGTCATTTAAACGTATTCGACTTCGGAACGATCTCCGTTGTTACGTTTTTTACGTTCGTCTAAAAAATCGGTAACATAGAGATCGCTAGCGCGCGCAGACAAAAACAGAAAGGGCCTATCGGCAGCGTTCTTTATCTCGTCCTATATCGCAGCCTCTTACGTGCTAACATATGACTCGTGCACTCTCGTCTTCGATCTTTATGATCGGTAACGAAAAGCTCGACACATCATAGCACCCCTTCCTCCGAAAGATCAGTAACAAAAAATAGTACACTTTTGAGCACTCCCCAAAAACGTCGTACCCCTACTTTATTTTTTTTGAACGTTGGTCACGTCGTTCTCGATGTCGGTTTGTTCCCGAAAAATTAAAAAAATTAAAAAAATCGGTTTTCAAAAAATCGGTAGCGAAAACGTCGACTCTTTACAGAACTCCCCAGAAACGTCATACACTTTCGAGAACTCCCCGAAAACGCTCACCGATATACGTCTTTGAGATTTGGTCGCGTCGTTTCCAAAAAATTAAAAAACGTAAAAAAATCGATTTCTAGAAACATGGTTTCTAGCACGAAACTATACATTTTCGGGCACTCCCCGGGAACGTCTACCGCTCGTTCATGTATACGGTACGTTGTTCGTTACAGACTCGATGTGGGAAAACCCAGTATGCTCTGCCTCATTTTAAACATCCGCTCCTCGTGAGGGATACCGAAGATTTCAAGCGTTTTCAAGAAGGCACGACGGACGGTATCGTTTTTGACGATATTGCCTTTCGAACCTGGCAACCTGAACGAATTTTACATACGGTGGATCGGGAAACAGCCTATACACAAAACGTGAAATTTACTAGCGTGAGGATACCCGCCTGGCTGCCGAAAATCATATGCTTAAATTTGATGGAGGAATTTTGGCCGTCAGATATCTTGTACGGTAAGAAAAGAGCAATCGAGGAGCGGATCATAGTTCGAGAGATCGACGAACCACTCTTTGACGGCAAGAGACACGCAGCCACCACCAGCTAGAGTGTTAGAGAGTCGCGGTTCCACGGAAGCGCCTCAAAAACAACACAAACATTAATGCAGGTAAGAGCGTACTGGTGTCTGCGACGTCCGTAGCCGTCGTACGGACAACGGTGTTTTTTTTCCTGTTTTGTTACGCGCGTGTACATATATATATGTATATATATATATATTATTCGTGTTTCTTTCACGTAGATATAAGATACTGGTCCATGTACGAACCAACACGACGGAGAAGCCGCACCCGTGCTTCTAGTGCGACAAAAGCTTTAGTAGAGCTAAAAACCTGAAGATCCACGCGCGCTCTCACACCAGCGAGCGTCCCTACGTCTGTTCCATCGAGGGTTGCACGAAGGCTTACTTGACGTTCTCTGACAGTGTGAAACCGATATTACAACTCACGCTGTGGCGAAACCCGCGTACTGCAAGGTGTCGGGCTGTCTGAAGAGGTCGACCGCGCCGTCGTTTTTGAGGAAGATAAGTATTCTAGCGAGATGAACAGTCTCCGTCGTACATTGTCTTGGGATGAACCAGTTCAACCCACGGGCCTACGAGTCACGTCGCAGATCGAGTATAAAAGAGTTGATCGTAAAACGGTGAGTGCAATATTTTTTAGTTTCTCGTTCGTAAGCAAGCGTACTGCAAACAAGTATGTTTTTGATGAGAAAAAGGGAAGACGTTGATAAAAAAATATTTAAAAAAAGGCTTTTGGGGAGAAAAAAGATACGTTTTACGTCAGAGTTTATCTTGTCGATCGTCGTGTACGATAAGCTTTTTTTATCGTGTACAGATAAAAGCAACGGTGGTCGCTCGTACAAGACACGCGTTTGCCACGATGGGCAACTCGTCGGTCTTGGAGGAATTTTCTACTGGAACGTCGTCCGTAAAAGTACGAGCTGCGAGCTTAGCTGGAACGGGTTCCGCGACCGAAGTAAAATATTTTTATATATTGGACGCGGGCACGTTCAGTTCTTTGACACGCGTCTACATATTTAAAAAAAGATCACGGTGAACGGTGCCTAGTCGTACAAGGTATATATATCTTCTCCCGCGCGATACTATTTTGACGACACACTTTTGTGTGCGTTGCAAAAGAATGTAAAAAAATTCTTTTCTTCTCTCTTTCGTTCCTAGGTCGTTGCGTCGGTA